CTGACCAGTGGGAAGGGACTGGCCCAAGACTAAAACCCTGGCACAGTGTATTTTTTCCAGGCATCTCACCCAAGAGCCAATGTCAGGGGTTCCTTGTGACCCTTATCATCATCATTCCTTCTGAATCCTCAGGATTCATGTGTCAAATCTCCCATCTAAGGGTTTTGCCCTTTTTCTTGGCTCAATATCCTTTTAGGGAGTTTTGGATGTCAAAATTTCTGCCTGTATTGTAATTCCAGGATTAATGTGAGTCAGTGCTTCCATGCATGGCTGGTCTAGGAGGGAGACTGTTCCTCAGGAGAGTGTTGTCCTCATGGTTCAAGGAATTTGAAATCCTATCCTTACCAGGGGATAACACCTGGATCCTGCAAGTCCTTCTTGGACTCTCAGACAACACCTTACCTTAATTAAAGCTGAATAATGAAGCAGTCTGGTCACAGCTGCCTCATCACCTGCCTGTCTCATGTGTTGTAAAATCATCACAGAATGGTTTGGGTTGGGAGGGATCCTAAAGTTCATCTCATTCCAGACCCCCACTATGAACCCTTTCCACCAGACCAGGCTGCTCAGGGCAGTTTAGAGGCATTTGATTTCCTGTTCCCCTAATTTTATTATTTATATTGTAGCTACTGGGAATCATCTTTCAGGGGAGAATAGAAATCACAGCAGGTGTTTCTTTTTTGCCTGTGATGGGGAGAGCAAGCAGAGTTTCCCCTCTTTTGTGGTTACAGGTTTCCTATCTTGGTTATATGGGCATTGAGTTACAGGGATTTGCTCTGAAAGTGCCCCTGAAATTGGAACAACACTCTTGCTTTTGGGAGGAACAGTTTTTAAATGTTTAAAAAGTGTTTAAAACCAGGTTGGATGGAGCTGTGAGCAGCCTGGTCTACTGAAAACTGTCCCTGCTCATGGCAGTGGGGTGGAGTTAGATGATTTTTAAGGTCCCTTCCAGCCCAAACCATTCCATGATTCTGTAATTCTGTGAATACAGGTCAGAGGAGCAGAGAAGCATGAGAGAATAAATAAAGAACATACCTGTACTGTGATTTTCCTGCAGCAGAACTGCTGGTGTGTAAGGAGCCATCCATTATTTGTTGAGTCCAGTAACTAATTCCCTTTTCAGAGCTCCTCTCCAAGAGCTGCTTTTGAATTATAAAGTGATTTTTTTACCTTCTGCTGCTGCTTTAAGTTGCTGCTGCTCTGTCAGGGTTGAGTAATGAAAATAATTGATCACTTTGCCCTTTCTAATGGCCCTTTACATCTTTATTGGCATGTCCTGTGTGTCCCCCTGCACTTGCCTTTTCTCAGGGTGCAGGACTCTTCATCTTTCTTCATGTAGATCTTTATCTCCAAAGCCATTCTTTTGCTCTTTCCATTGCTTTCCTCTAAGTGCAATCCATTTATTCTGCTTCTTTTGCAAAGACAAAGACTCTCCACGCTTCCAGCTACGAAAAGGACAAAGCCACAGATAGATTTTGTCATTTTGGCCAAATCTTTGCTGCCAGGGCAGGGTCTGGTGTGTGCTTCCATAAGGCTGAGTGTTTCCCATGGTAGATCCCACATTTTAGAGCACATTAGGAGTGGTTGAGGGAGCTAGGATGGTTTATCCTGGAGAAAAGGAGGATTGGGAGGACCTTATCACTCCTTGGAGGGAGGTTAGAGGCAAGTTGGGGTTAGTCTCTTCTCCTATCAAGTGACAGAATTAAAGGAAATGGCCTCAAGTTGCACCAGGGGAGGTTCAGGTTGGATATTGGGGAAAATTTCTTCACTGAAAGGATGATCAAGCATTGTCACAAGCTGTCCAGGAGATGCTGGAGTCCCCATCCCAGAAGGATTTAAAAGCTGTGTAAATGTGGCACTTGGGGACATGGTTTAATGCTGGCTTTTGCAGTGCTGGGAAAAGATTTGGACTTGATCTTAGAGGTCTTTTCCAACCTCAGATGGGATGCTGCTGTCACTTGTCCTGAGGGCTGTCATAAATGGGATAAATAAGAGGATCTGCCAGCTAATTCCTTTGTCCCAAGCAATAAAAGTAATGGATTTATTGATCATGGCTAATCCATGAAAAGCCATTAGGTGGTCACAATGTCTTTGTATAACAATTGATCATTTCATATCACATCTCATGATAAGCACTCTAATGTGATATTTCTTAAATCCTATAAATAATTCTGGGTTCTTCTAAGGGTTCACTGTGCCTCCTGAAAAAAGGGACAGGTGGGAAGGTGGTTGAAGTATGAGTCCTGCTATGAATTCACCTCACAGCAATTAGAATTAAGGGCAATCTCACAGAAAACCTACTTGTCTTCCCCATGAGTTTTCACCTGAAGTTTCAGCCTGTACCAGATTTCTTTAATGGAGCTTTTAATTTGGAGTTTAATATTTTCAAAAATCTAAGCAGAGTCCTGCAAGTGAAATTAGAGTGAGATCCATTTCCTGTGACCTGTTGCCACCTGCTGCCTGAGAATAAAGATGATTCATTTAAGTAGCAAGCAGAATTTCCATCAATTTTGTAAGGGATGAATGCTGCTGAGAAGGCACCAGGAAGGTAAATCACAAAGAGAGCAGAACTCTGAGCTGATGTAAGTCATCACAACTTGGGAAAATCCTGATTTGATCCAGCTGAATATGTGGCTATCAGCTGAGCTGGAAGGGCAGATGTTGTTTTCATCATCTGGTTGGAAGGGCAGAGCAAATTGACTCAAACAATTAATTCTTAAAGCAGGTTTTGATACCAGTGGGTTCAAATCTGACCATTTGCTGAAGAGAAACATTAATTTACATATAATCCACCTTCTCAGCAGCATCCCTTGCAACCCCAGATCCACATCTAAGTCTTGGATCCAGATCATTGTTATTATGAGCCTGCAGTTCTTTTCAGGAGTGGAAAACCCACCCAGATTCAGTTATTTGGTTCAGACCTGGCTCACATCCATTGCCAGGTTGCACATTGGTGGCAGTAACATCCACAGAATGGGGGTACCAGGAGTGTTCTGGAACTCCAGATAATTCCAGGGAGCAGAGTTGTCTCTTACAAACCTTTCCCAGCAGCTTTTATTGAATTTTATGGTTTCCCCTTGCTGCTGGAATTATTTCATCTATTCAGCCATGTTGTGTTGGCTGACACTTTCATGGAAGACGCATTTAGAAAGGTTCTTTTTCAACCAAATCTTACCTTTCTATTCAGCATTTCTGCCTCTCTGATTTTTTTCTTTTATGCACTTGCTGCTTAGCCAGATTTATGAAGGCACTACCACAAATGACAGCAAAGAGAGATTTCAGTGTAATGAGGCAGATTTTAGAGAATTGAAATAAGTTATTTCTCTTTAGGAGTTGTTTGGTTGCAGGCTGGTTTTTTGTGTATTTTTTAATAATACTTCAAAATCATAGTTTGTCTTGGGCATTAAAGAACAGCATTTGCCATCCAAGATAAAATTACAAGGTATCAGATTATGTCATGGCATTTACCTTACAAAGAGGTCTCATAATGCTTGTTCTAATTAAAAAGAAAAATAATTCCATTTCCCTGCTCCTTTAGGTCAATTAAATTCCTTAATAATACCAAGAAGGAACAGATCCAAGTGTGGACAGGCTGTAGGAATATTTGCAAACAGAGTCTAATCCTGACTATAAAATAAACTGTCACTTCAGTGTGTGGTCATTGCAGAACTGATGTTAACAATACTTCAAAAACCCTTAATGAAGCCAGGGCGTTCTATCCTGATGTCCAAACCTGTATCCAAGCTCCAGCTTTGTTCAGGTAAAACTCTCACTGAGGTCTGTGAGCTAACCAGCAAGTAAACATTAAACCCTTGATCATAGATCAGGAAATGGTGAGCAAGTCCCATGTAAGTACTGCTGAACGTGTTTCATGGTATCTGTCCTGTAATTTCTTGTCTTGCCTGTATTTGTTTGTATTTGGAGGTTTTCTTGTAGCTCCTCTTATTATTCGAGTCCTTCTCTGGTTTGTTAGGTAAAAGCCCACAGGGAAATTCTCCTCATATTCTTGGTGCCAAATAGATGGGATGAGTGACAGCTTAAAATCTCCCTAGTCAGCTGTTAAAATTGTTAGGGATTTTTTTTTTTTTTATTGGAGAGATGGATGCCTGAAGAGTCCTTGGGAAAAGAGCTGCTTTCCCATTTGCAGGGCCATCATTCACAGCTAAAGTGGAGTTTCCTGGGGCAGCATCACAGAAAACTTGTTTTGTCCAGTTTTCTGTCTTGTGAATGGAGATGTGGCTTGAATCTCCAGTTAATGTCCATGCAGGAATAAACTTACAAGAATGGTCAAACATGGAACAAAAAAGTTGGGTTTTTTTGGGTTTTTTTTTTCCCAAAAGCATCAGCTGGGGAGATCTCACAAGAAAGCTGAAAATTTTCTGACCATGGGGAAATGAAAGGTTTTAGGTCAGGTCAGGTTTTAATCCCCGCTGTCATGGGGACCATCATCTGCAGATTAAAAGGAGAAATGCAGATATTTCAGTCTGCACATCAGCTCTCTGCCTGTCCGTTTTGAGTCACTCGAAAGCGTGACACGTCCCAGTGTTGGTGTCTTCCATGTGCTGTGGAAGTCCAAGTGTCTGTGACCCGAGTAGCGACAGCCATCGTGACAGACCAGTCTCTGCTGCAACTGTTCCCCTTCCCCTTGGCAACCTGCAGTGATTGTATTTTGTCTCCTTCCCTTGGGAAAAGCCGTGGTGGTGGATTAGGGGCAGAGTGGGAAGGGCGTGGAAAGGGGAGGGAGGGATCCGCATCCTTCCTCCCCACCTCCAGTTTTATGCATGACTGCACCGTTGGGAAGTTGTCCCCTCTGTTTGGGTGGCATGAGTGTGCAGAGCCTCCTCCTGCTTCCCTGGGAGAGGGGCTCAGGAAAGCTCTCCCTCATGGAGATGCTGGCTGGAGAAACCCTCTGCATCCCAGTGGGATCGGGAGGCTGAATTAGAACCCCACCTGGGAGTGGGTGAGGTGGAGCTGAGTTCCCTTTCCCTCTCCCTTGACAGGGCATCCCTCTGGAGCTCCTGCGTGGTGCTGCCCCTGCTGGCTCTCACCTGGATGTCTGCAGTCCTGGCCATCACCGACCGGCGCTCGGCGCTTTTCCAGATCCTTTTCGCCGTCTTCGACTCCTTGGAGGGATTTGTCATCGTCATGGTCCACTGCATCCTCAGGCGGGAGGTGAGAGGGAGGAGTCATTATCTGTTACATAATTAATGTTTTTTCCCATAAAAACCACATGGAAAAGTGCCCAACCAGCTGGTAACTTCTCTAACCCTACAAATTTCGCTTTGGGGGAGATCGTGACCACAAAAACGGCCGTGACATTTTCTGTCAGAGGGAAGGAGGAATGAATCAGGGTGGAGTTTGGTGAGATGGGATAACATGTCAGGCTTTGCTTGTTTACCAGCAAAATTCTCATTTCCAGAATGTTCACACCCCTCCTCCAAAAAATGCCACATTAAAGAAGTGATTTGTGTGATTTCAGGAGAGGCGAGATGCACTGAGGTTTGCAGGATGAAATCTGTGCTGGCATTAACACCCTGATATTCCAGCTAGGAAGTGCAGCCAGCAATAATCAGGCAAGGAAATTGAGGAAATTCTCTTCAGCCTCCCTGTGGAGATTTAAAATGGTGAATTATATCAGGGAAGAAAAGAACAAATCTTTTATGTTTCTTTTATTCTTTTCATCCTACAGAGTGGAGAGACTATTAATAACAGAGACAGGAAGGGGCTTTTTTTTCAATATTAATTTTATCTTCTTACAGTTCCTTTAAATTCAGTAAAACAGATTAATTTCTTATGTCAGGCCAATGAAATCAATGGAATTACACCACTGGCTTGGCTGAGACTCCTTCCACTAATTGCATTATGAATATGAGTCTGCATTCACAGTCCATTGCAGTCACCAGGATTTTTTTTTCAATTATTTCAGTGAGTTTGGGATCAGATTTATATTACAGGATCCTGATCAGACTTTGTAGACACCAATACAATGATTAATGCGGGAGCATCCATTTAAAACATATTGCAAGCTGCAAAATAAAGGACATTTTTATTCCTGACTGCATAAATCAAGCAAATGGAAGTGACCTAGGCAGTGACCCGGGGTTGCTGGAAAAACTCTGAGTTGCTCTTCAGTGTGTGAAATCTGTAATACACAAACCTTGTGAAAGAAATGCCTGGGTGCTGCTAAAGCAGGGTCCATGTCCTTTTGATCTAACAAGGGCTGTTTTTATTTTGGATTTCAGCAGAATTTAAGGTGATTTGGTCAGTCTGACTCTGACCTTTGCCAATCTGTTCCTGCAGGTCCAGGATGCTGTGAAGTGCCGGGTTGTGGATCGTCAGGAGGAAGGCAATGGAGACTCAGGGGGGTCATTCCAGAACGGACACGCTCAGCTCATGGTAGGGAAGTCTCCTACTTCCCCTTTAGTAGGGGTTTTTTGGAGATTTTTAACTCATAACTGATAATCAGAGGACTCTGTCCATCCCAGATCCTGAATTCACCATTCTCATTTCCTTTAAACTTTTGCTTCAGCAAACAGAGCCCTTAAAATGGACTTTTTCACACAAATCTGGGGCGTTGCATTTTAATTTTAAGGTTCTCAAGCTCACACACCAGGTTTTTCAGGCATCTTGGTGAGATCCTTTCTTTCCCAGAAAAATAAAGAACAAAAATACACCTCCCATGTCTTCCAGACCTTTTAATCCCCATCAAGCTGCCTTGTCCTGGCTGGAGCTAGGAAGTTGTGGTTTAATACTGTTTTAATTACAGTCTGTTGGGTTACTGTCATAAAAAATGCTGTCTCAGAGGGATTTTTTTCTCTCAAAAGCACACTTTGCTTCACTGGGAATAGTTTAATCTCTGTAAATTGTGGTCCTGTTGTGTAAGTCCTTTGCAAACAGTAAAGGAGTAGGCTGTGGGCCTTTGCCCTGCATCTGATCCACTGTTACGATGTAGTTGATGCAAGAAACATTTGATTTTGGAGATTAAGATATAGATATCAGGAGAATCAGATTATTTGAGCAACTTCCAAGAGCTCCCGGTTAATATTAGAGCTACAGCACAACCCAGTGATGTTTTTTTCCAGCAGTTTCTGCCTGGGTACGAGGCCTCATTTCAAACAGCACAATCTTGGAGTCAAGACATCAGCAGAGCTTTAATTCCACCACACCTTGTGGTGTTTGCTAAAAAACAGGTGCCTCATTTCTCATTTAAATGCAGAGTCTTCTTATTTTCAGACATGTTCTCGCTCTGCCTAATTGTGGGTAATTAGAGAGCCCCTTGCATGCCTGGTGCTTTGGCTTGTTCAATAACAGACACCACAATCAAACCCAGTCTCTTCCATAAATTAACACCCAGAGCTTTCTTATTCTCCCTCTCTAAATCACGTGCCTTCAAATTATTTATATAACCCCCTCCAGATTCTCAGCAACCTGAAAAAAAAGGTGGATCCTGTGATTGTCAGTCTGCTGTCGCCATCCCAAGTTTCAGGGCTTTGCATCCCTGTACAACTCCACATTTCCATCCCTTATCAGCCACCTTGGGAAATTCTGTGTCAGCCATGAGTTTTTTAGCAATGTTGCATTTCCTCCTGCACTGCTGACGCAGCGCAGGGTGTGTGGAGGAGCAGGGAGCTTACAATCACTTTCCTCACATTCCAGCACAAAAAGCTGCAGAATCTGGCTGTGAGTGATGGCTCCTCGCTGGTATTTTTAGAGGGGTACAATGTTATTTTGTTGTAAAATCACCGAAGGAATCAAGAGCTTTTGCAGGATGACATTTTTGCTGTTACCTTTTCTGTTTATCTCCAAATCTGCCCAGCTAGTGAAAAGGAGCTTAGCTGAGTAGAACTGTTTTTTCCCCACAAAATCTTGTTGACTGGTATTAAATATAAACCTGTCTTTCATTTATTTATCAGCAGAACTACTGCAGGCTGTTCAGCTGCATTTTTTTCTGGAACTCCTATCATGAAAATGAGATTATATTTTCCTGTGTTGTCCCATTTGCCCATTTGAATGTTAGTTCAATCGTATTTGTCTTCTGTTCTTTTCAGATTTGTTTGATATCCCAAAGAATTTTCTGGGAAATTAATATCAGGAAGGCTGAGATAGTTAAAAAACTCTTGGCTCTCAACCTGCTAATATTAAAGTGTTTATCCCAGGGGAATGGGGATTTTTCCCACATTCTTCTCAGTATTCAAATGGATTTCATTTTGTCACATTAATACAATTATGTTAAATGTCTTTCTGAAACGATACCAGGAATAATCAGTGAACTCTTCTACCTTTTGCCAGTCTGCAGCTTCCCCGTTACTCCATGAAAGCTCACGGCCTGCTGTGACTCAGTTTATCCAGTTCTTTGAAATGTTATCTGCTCAAAGCTTCAGAAAAAGGATTAAGTCCTCCTGGGAGAAGAAAGGAGTTCCCTTTGGCTGCGCACACCACTTGAAAAAGTTATTCAACCTTTGTGCCTGTGGGAGCCATTGATTTTATGTGTTAAGAGTTTCAGAAGCAGAGACTTGTTCCCACTTCTTGTGGCTTGGTGACAGATCACAAAAAAGCCCAGTGGGGGTTGAGCAATCCCAGCAGGCTCCCCAGATCTCTTTAATAAAGGGTGGGGAATCCACTTAAATTTATGTGTAGAGTGATACATCCAAAACAGTTTGGGCCAGAAACCTGTTCCCTGTTTTTTTAGGGGTGTGCATAAATGTGTTCCAGCGAGATATTTTAATCTGCAGCCCAGGAATGAGTGAATGGATGAGCAGATGAACAGTTGAAAAGCAATGTTCCAGCTTTATCAGTGATAAAATTCAAAAGCCAACGGGTGGAAAAACATGGTGTGTTTTCCATGTTTGAAAATCCACCCAAACTTCTCCCCTCCACTCTCCCAGCAAAGGCTGTGCCCACCTCACTAATAAAGTGGGGATTTTGCATTTCCAAGTCTTCCTGTCCCTCACTACCCCCTTTTGACCCCATCCTCTCTGTTCTCTGTCTTTCAGACCGATTTCGAGAAGGACGTGGACATGGCTTGTAGATCAGGTGAGCACATCACAGGTGAGAATCAGCAAGTGACCTGGTTTGGGGATTGAACTAGGCCATTTTTTTTCCTTCCCTTTCTGTTTCTTTTGTGTGTGTCTTGGTGCCTTGCATGTCCTCACGTGGGTTGCCCTTCCTTTCAACCCCAGCCAAAAGAAAGCAACACCCTGAATTTTCCCTTTGCTTTTCCTATTTTCCTGTAGCTCTTTTGGTCTTTTAACTGAGATCAAGCCTTGCCCCTGAGGAGTTGTTTTTTGCCATGTAACACAGTGGCAGAGAAGAGCATCAAGGAAGAAGAGATGGGATCCATCTCTTCATACTCTGATCCTTCTTTGTTCCAGCAACCTCTGCTGGGGTCATGCCAACCTCAGGCAGCTCTGTGCCCATGAAGGGTGTCTTTGTAGAAAGTCTGGAATCTGGAGAGCCTTCCCACTACTCCACCTGGCTCCAGGCTCTTCTGTGCACCTGGAAGTGGTTGGATCTCTCCTCCTCTGCCTGCTCCTTTCTGCTGTGTGTTCATCACACAGGTTGCTCTGGATCCTGAGGATGTGCATGAGTTGACAGCCCCTTTTCCCAATAATCCCAGGGGTGCCTGTGCTGTCTGGATTCTCCCTGGCTGCCTGTTCCTCTCTGCAGGTTTCATCCTCTCATGGTCCTGGTATGCCTGACCTTTGGCTGAGGTTATTTTTCTTACCCTTTATAGATACTGAGGCTTTCATTTGCCCTCCCAGACTTCTCCCCTCTGCCAAGCAAGAGAAATACCAGCTTGCTTGGGAATTGCATAATTCATATCTCCCAAACCAGGATCTTCCAAAGCCAGGGACAGCACACTCTGTGTTCAGTTACCACTATGGCAAAGCTTCTCTCTCTATTTTTTTATTAATCTTTCTTTCCTGCCTTCCTTCTTTCCTTCTTTCTTGTGTTCTTTCCTTCTCTCTTTCTCTCCTTCTTTCCCTGCCCTGCCTTTTTTCTTTCTCCCCTCCCCTCTCCCTTTCTATAAACATCTACCTGTCCTTTTCATTTATCTTTTTCTTTATCTCATCTATCATTTATTTATCTGCTTCTAATGTATTTATCTATAATTCATCTCTTTCATTCTGTCTCACAATCACTTATTTATCTCTGTCCTCAGCTGTCGGTCTTGCTGCACCTGTTATTTATGTATTTCTATCTGTCAACATTTGTCCCTGTCACTGTGTTTCTGTGCATTGTCTATCACTGTCACTATCATTTATCTGTCTAATATCTATCTATATCTTATTTATCTTTTCCTGTCCATCTCTCTGCCTCACTCCCTCTCCCTGTGCTTATCACAGTCACAGTATATTTATCTCACTTACCCCTGTGATATCTTATTTCACGGTCTCTTTTGTCCATTTATCTCTTTTCAGGGTCTCTCCATTTTTTTTTCCCTTTCCGTTTTTCTGTCTCACACTCTCTAATTTAATTTCTAGCTGTCAGCCTCTTCTCATTTGTCTCCCTCCTTCTCTTTTGACACCAAATATCTCAGTCCCAAGAAGTCACGTATGAAAAATGTGTGTGTGGGGCCATGTCTGAATTGAGAGGATGCTCAGGGACCATTCACCAGGCAGAGTCAGCTGTAAACCCCCGGCAGACACAGATTCCTCCTCTAGAGGAGCCTTTCTGGATCTGCCACCACACCTCTTCATCCCAAATTGAGTTTCCCAGAGGAAGGGAAGGAGCTGATTTGTTTCACGTGATTTCATGGCAGGAGCCCCTGGATCAGCAGCTTGCCAACAGCCTAAGCTTCCCCTCCTTTGCCAGGAGCCAACTCTAGAATTTGTATTTGTCTGCCTGGAGATTCTCCTCCTCTCATAAAGTGCCATTAGATTGTGCCAAGATAAGTAGTTAATAATAAACCTAATTTCAGAGACCTTTTGGAGTGGTGCATCATCCCATGCACTCTGCTTATTGAATAATAAAATCCAGGAACCTGTCCAATGGTTTCTGGCCATCATTTCTCCTGGAGGCACCATCTCCCCTCTTGTGATGGATTGGAGATGTGGCTGAGACCACTCAGAACCCTCACACATTGATCCCCTGGTAGGATTTGCTCCAGGGCTCGGTGTTGAAGGCTCTCTCTGCTCCTTGCTTGGAGATTGCCAAGTGGAAACCTCTCCAAACCTATTTTCTGTAACTGATGTGAGCATGGAGAAGAGCCTGGATCAATAAACCTTGCTGGGACTCCCAAGGGATGGGCTTGACTAGCTCTGATTTATCCCAGCAATGCCAAGATGTTCATGGCTACCAGAGTTTTCAGCTTTAAAAGCTCTTTACAAGCTCTTTTTATTCTCCTTGGTGCCCTGCTCATCCTACCTTGCGTGCTCTGTAGTCTTGGGGGGGGAGTTTGATCTTCCCTCACTCCCACTCAGAGCTGGTAGGAAAATCAGCGTGTCCTCAGTGCCATGGGATGCCCATCCCACCCCATCCCACATGGAGCAGCTGAATAATGTCAGCTCACCCCAAAAATCCTTCTCCCTGGTCCTAAAAAAGATCCATTTACCTATTTTTATTTCCTCCTTGTGGTGGTTGAAAGGGGAACATACATTTCTTTCTCTTTTGCTGTGCTGAAGTCCTGGGTAAGTAGCCCACAACACTTTGTCCCTGCCCCACAGTCGGATTTCCTTGATTTTCTGATTTTCCACCCAGCAGAGACATCAAGGTTGACATCATTATTTTCCCAAGATCTTTGCTGCAGCCTGAAATCAACTGAACAATAGATTATTATGCCTGGAAAAGGGGCAAAATATTTTTTTTGCAGACAGTGTTGTGTGGGAATGAGTGTCTAAATGTCCTTTATGACATGTTCACTTCCTCCTCAGTTTAAAGTGTTCCTCTCTTTTTAAGGAATATTCCCATCAGCACTTGCTTTCCTGAAGGGAAATTGAAAATTGCTAAATAATGAGCTCTCACAAAGGCTTACCATGATTACTGGGATGTAAGATTTTATGGAGAGCAGTTTTAAATTCTTAACAAAATATGGTGTGTTTCAAAATACCAATTTATTAACACTGGAACTGTTAAGGGAAAAGAGCAACCTGAAGTATTTCAGTGAGTTAATACAAAAAATTAAATTTGAAGGGAGCTGGAACTTGATGATCTTTTAAGTTCTCTTCCAGCCCAGACTATTTGATGATTTTATAGTTCTATGAATCATTAATAATGTTGTATTTCAGCTATTTCCTGAATCAAAATAATCTTTTTACATTAAAGTAACCTTTTATTTTAAAGAATTCTACTCCACAGGCTAATAATGTATAGATTTCTTATATACATACATATAGTAGATGTACTAAATATCTAAAAATCTCTTTGGTTTTCAGGGTATTGTTATCAACATGTTGGCCTAGATGGGAGTTTTGGCCATGGCTGTGTTGGAAAACTCACATCACAGAGAACTCTCCCAAAATAACAAAGTTGTTTTCCTCCCTAGCTTTAATTTTGCCTTCGGTATCCTGGATTTTAAAAAATAGAAATAACGTTAAACACCGTTGTGCCTCTTTGGGAGAGGTGCTGGCGGGGGGTGACTGTGGGAGGTGTCTTGATGTGTCAACAAAACCCCAGGTGAGGTGCTGAGGACACTTCTCTGTCTCCCCAGTGCTGAACAAAGACATCACCACGTGCAGAACCTCGACCATCACGGGGACCCTGAAGCGCCCGTCGCTGCCTGACGAGGAGAAACTGAAACTCAACCACCAGAAAGGCTCATCCAACTTCAACAGTCTTCCAGCCAACGTCTCCAAGATGCACCTTCAGGGCTCCCCACACTACCTGGGGGCCATCAACCTGAACGAGTTCAGCAACCACTCCCTCACCCTGAAGAAGGACAAGAACCAGCCGCCGAAATCCATCTACATCTGCGACGGGGACATCTTCAAGAAGTTGGACTCGGAGCTCTCGCGGGCACAAGAGCAGACCATGGACACCAGCTACGTGATCCTGCCCACCAACACGTCCACCTTGAGGGCCAAACCCAAAGATGAGAGCAAATACAGCATCAACATCGACCAGATGCCTCAGACACGGCTCATCCACCTCAGCATGGCCACCGACCCCGGCTTCGTGGTCAAGAGTCCCCCGCGGGAGCCGGTGACCATGGCGTGCAGTGAGGTGCAGGGTTCCTCCATGATCCAGCAGCAGCAGCAGCTGGCTCCACAGAACATCTCCAACGAGTCACAGATTCCCAACAGCCTGTGTGACACGGGTGACTCAGGGAACTCGGGTGTGGTGTCCAAGAGCGAGACCGTCTCCACCCTCTCCATGAGCTCCTTGGAGGTGAGCGTGGAGATCGCGGTGTTGTTCTCAGCCCAGGGTGGTGTTCTGCCCTCAATCCCGCCACTCCAGGGGGTTGGAAAGAAGAACTTCAGGGAAATTGTAGCCCAGGATGCAATGCCAGTGTCATATTACCCTGAGGGACCAGTGGCATGAGGTCATATTTTGGAATCTGATGTCACAGCTTCCAGAGCACATTCCATTGCTGGATCAACTATGTTTAGCCCTACAGGTGCTACAAAGTAAAAAAAAAAAAAAAAAAAAAGATAATTTATCAAAGCTATTCATTTTAATGCCAGGCACATGGCCTGCCTTATCTTTTGCCCTTTATATCCTCTGCCCTATCTGGCCTATTTCCCATTTTGATGGTTTCAGTCACGATGAGAAGACCCCAGTAATCCAGGCTGGAGTGGGCTTGGAGCAGCCTGGGATAATGGAAAGTGTTCATGCCCATGGCAGGAGGTTGGAAGTGGCTGATTTTAAGATCCCTTCCAACATAAATGATTCAATAACTCAAAATATTTGGCACTTCCCATCATGAAGAGCCAGAAAAACACATTAAAGGTGTAGAAAAAGGGAAAAGGAAAGGAGAAGGACTTTTCCTGTTTTATCCTCTTACTAACCTTTACCCATCTTTTTCTCTCCTGAATACCCAGAGGCGGAAATCCCGGTATGCAGAGTTAGATTTTGAGGTGAGTGCATCCCTTTCTAAATGTTGGTCCCAAATTTTTTGAGCCACCCTCTCCAATTATCTCACCTTGCCAGAGCACACGAAATCCACATTTAGCCTTCTTATACATGGAAAGGGAAATGCTTCTAGAAATTGCCCTGCCTCTCCTTCTGGTCAGCACTAGGTAGAAGTGAAATGCAGACTGGTCGAATTAAAAAGAAAATGAGATTGTGGAACAGTTTCTAATGAAATTACATGAATTCTGCATGTTTGGGTGAGCTCTGAACACATTTACAGAAGTGACAAACTGAGGAAAGGCTGGGCATGGGGACAGGTATCAGTTAAAGAAGGGCAGCAAACCTTCTTTAGGACATTGACAGTCAAGCTCAAATTCTGCAGCATAAAAATTTGATTGTTGCAAGTTTAAGGGGTTTTTTTTAGGTCAAAAATTAGTATTTTCCACTTTATCCCACCATCTCATCTTGAAAATAAAGGCAGTGCTGCAGTGGGTCCTCAGTAAATGCTGAAGTTATTTCAGGCACCTGCAGGGAGACAGAGCTGGGGTTAAATGATGTAACTCTGGGGGGAGAACGTGTTCCTGATGGGGTTTGCTGACCTGTGGCCCTTTGTGTTTCCTCCAGAAAATCATGCACACAAGGAAACGTCACCAAGACATGTTCCAGGACCTGAACAGAAAACTCCAGCACGCAGAGAAGGAGAAGGAGTCTCCAACAACGGACAGCAAGGTTAGTCAGACACTTCAGAAGCCCTCTGGTGCCAGCAGGAGCATGGGAACCAGCAGGAAATTGGTCTTCAACCATGCATGTTGCAAAAAATACACATGCACCACACAGCAGCCCAGGAGGAGGATGTCTGTCCCCATGTCTGTCCATGGTGTTGTTTTCCCTGTGTCTGTCCTTGGCATTCCCTTCCAGGTCATCCCTTTGTGCCCTATTCATCCACTCCTAGGTAGGAAGTGGAAATTGAGATGACCATGAGGAAATCTGGGTGGAAAGGAGAGGGCAGAAAGAGGGGAAGCATCTCCCCTCCCTTGTGGGGCTGAGGCAGAGGCCAAGGTGGCAGTGATGGGATATTTAGGATGGCCACGGCAGTGGGATTTAAGGTGTGATGTTGGGAGCACATTTTGGAGAATGGAGACTATTAAATGTAGGTTATTTGTGACAGCTGATCACCTGTGATATGAGCATGTGGAAATGAGCAGGTCCAGACAAGGCCATGAAGGTTCTCTAAGGGCTGGAGCATCTCTCCTATGAGGAAAAGCTGAGAAAATTTGGATTGTTCAGCCTGGAGAAGACTCCTAGATGAGCTTATTGTGGCCTTTCAGTCCCTACAGGAGCTGTAGAGGGACTTTGACAAGGGCATAGAGTGACAAGAGCGTGGCAGCCAAAAAGGGGCAAAGGCTTTAACCTGAAAGAGAGTAGGGTTAGATTGAAAAGTGGGAAGAAATTCTTTCCTCTGGGGGTTCTGAGGTCCTGGCACAGGTTGCCCAGAGAAGATGTGGCTGCCCCATCCCTGGAAATGTCCAAGGCCAGGTTGGACAGGGCTTGGAGCAACCTGGGATAGTGGAAGATGTCCCTGCTCATGGCAGGGGGTTGGAATGAGATGATTTTATAGTCTTTTCTAGCCCAAACCATTCTGTGGGTCCTGTGATATCCAGGAGCAAAGTTCCAGGGAAAAGGGGCCTCCTTTTAAGGAGACAGACTTAGGGAAGCACCTTTCAGCCTTTCATAGGGGCAGAGATCTGGGACTGGAAAAAATTATCAGCAGCCTTTGTAATAATTGGTGTTGTCATTAATAAAATAAGGAAGAGCAGGCAGATGGCAACTTCCAGCCAGCTGGGCAAGGACTGAAGGGCTGCAAGGAATTCTTACCGCTCCAGCTGAAGAGAAAAACAAGCAGCAGAGCCAGGTTGGCAATAAGAAATTAAATTTCCTGCACTCCAGGAGAGAGGCAAGGTGAGCTAATTGTAACAATCCTTGGTGATTTGTAATCAAAGCCCCTCATGACAAGAAAGAAGTTGAGGGGCTGGGGAGAGAACAGCAACAAAGATGGAGAAGGGTCTGAAGCACGAGTCTGGTGAGGAGCACTTGAGGGAGCTGGGGGGACTCAGCCTGGAGAAAAGGAGGTTCAGGGGAGACCTTCTGCTCTCTAGAACTCCCTGACAGGAGGCGGGAGTCAGTCTTCCCTCCCAGGTAGAAAGTGATAGAACAAGATGAACCAGCTCCAGTTGCACCAGGGGAAGTTCAGGTTGGATATTTGGAAAAATTTCTGCAGTGAAAGGGTGGCCAAGCATTGGAGGAGGCTGCCTCAGAGAAGAGGTGGAATCACCATCACTGGAAGTGTTCAGAAACCACATGTAGATGTGGCACCTGGGGACATGGTTTGGTGGTGGCCTTGGCAGTGCTGGGTTGACAGTTGGATCAGTGATCTTGGAGGTCTTTTCCAACCTCAGGGATTCCATGATCCTAAAACAGATCCAGAATGTATCACCCCCTGCAACGTGGCAGATGTGGCACTGGTGGGGTTTATTTTGATGGGACTCCCTTGGAGGGCAAGAGCAGAGCTCAGAGGGTGATGGAACAAGAAGTTTGGGGTTTTTTGGAGGGAAGCAGAGCACTACAGAGGCTTTGGTCTGTGTTTGATACAAGGGTATCTTCAAGCTAGGTCTTATAAGCTCTTGGAGATTTGTATCACACCCGAGATAGCTCAGTCACTTCAGATGGCATAAAATCAGCTGGATGGCTTCTGTGGCAGTGTTGGAAACAGAAAAGTTTTAATAAAAGGCAAAATAACAAAGCTCTTTACAGAGAAAAACTGAGCCAGGGCAAGAGGTTCTTGTTCTTGGTAAAACACCTCACAAAAGCAATTAGTTTCCTTGTTCTCTTCTTTTTCTAGTAAATTGCTTAGGTGGGACTTTTTGGCTTCTGTCCAATTGGCTATCCTTAAGTTTGAGGTGAACTCCCCACCTATGAGGTGTCTTTTCATCTAATTGAAAATTAGATTCATCTAATTTTTCTAATTTTAGATTAATAAATTCATCTAAAAAACGTCTGGGCTTTTTTCCTTTTTTTAGGAGACAAAGGATAATTTTGTCACTGTCAACAGGGGGTACATTCTTACATGTGTTCCGACCCCGCATTGCTGTGCTGAGCTCCAGAGATGTTACCCCAGCAAATCCTACTTTTATTGCACATGGCAAGGTGTCATTATGGGCTGCCCAGGGTAGTAACAGAGTGAGAGGCAGTGGGTTCTACAGGTTCAGACCAAAGAATCCTGCCTGGCCCAGAATCCCAATGTGTCTCACTCAGTGTCACCTCTTGGGGTTTTGGTTTTTTTTTTTTTGCAGTAATTTTAGTATGATGCAGCTGTAAACCCAAAAAATGCTTAAATGCAGTGTAAAAGCTAATCTGTGGTCTATTTGCAGGAGGGGTTTATAGATTGGGAAGGTTTTAGCATTTCAGAGATGCATCTATGTAGAATTAAAGTTGCCGCTGTCAGCATCAAAGAGCTTTGAGCTGCCGAAGGAGGTTCTGAAGGTGGCTTTTGCATATTGACTGAATCTTTTTCAAGTTGGGAATTTTCTCTTGGATGTAACAGGAGAGGGGGAGCTTGTGAAGAGCAGGATTGGCAAGTCAAGAGTGGGTATTGTTTAAAAAATATCCAAAGCAACACAAAGTCAAATAAACAGGTTTTTTCTAGCCTTTTTTTTACCATTTGTTGCTGAGAACCCCACTGGAGCTCAGGCCCCATCTTCAGCTCACCCTGAGAAGGCAAAGAGCAGATAACAGAGATTAAAGGAACAACAAAAGGATGTTTTCCCTTTCATGTGTATTTAGGTTATAAAACGATGGAGTGCTTCTTCTGGTGGCAGTGATAAAACAAACCTTAGTGTAAGTCTGGCTTTCATTTGCACTGCAGAGCATCCTGGACCTATCCCAACCCCTTCCATGACATTGTCTTGCTGTGAAAGACAGGTGTCTGCTAAGGAAGGCAGAAGCCTCCCTTGAAATGGAAAATGCAAACCCCCTCCCTCTAAATCATTATAATTTTGAAAATAAGGGGCACTCTGGCAAAGATATGGGAATAGGAATAACAGCTCTTTACTGGGAAAATTAAAAATTCAAATGCTATTGCATTGTATTTTTACAAAAAAATACAAAAAAGAAAACAAACCACTGACAGTCAGAAGAGGATCTGACACCCTGTGGGTCAGGGTGGTGGCTGCAGTCCCATTCCATGGTGGCTCAGCCCTCCTGCAGTGCCAGCTGTGGCTCTGTTGGAGCAGGGATCCTGGAGAAGGGTGGAGTTTCCCTCTGAAGGCCCAGGGGTGATGTAGATGGGCCTGGTCTTTCTTCCTCTGGGAATGCAGTGGAGAAGAAAGCTGCTCCTCTGGGAATCCAGTGGGAAAAGGCTGCTGCAGTGTTCCAAAACCTCGGATTAAATCCAGGTAGGAATGTTTGGCTCCTCCCCCTGGGCAGAGCATCTCCCTGTGGGATGATGGAATTTTATCTGCCAGGCAGTGACACCCACTGGCCCATGAACAGAAGATATTTCCTGGAGGGAGGACTGGTTGTGGAAGAGATAAAAAAACCTGCCCAATTAACAGAAAATAACTGCCCCACCTCTAACAGATGTCAAATAAAATACACACCCCTAGTTAAATCTTTCAACCTAAGACAGACATGAATCCAAACATTCCTTAACCAGCAGAAAGCTCTGTGCCTTGTGGGCATGAGTAAGGGCATGACAGGATCCTGGAGTACCCCTGAACCCTTCCTCATCCTAGAGCAGAAGGGATATTTCTTGTATCTGCTCCATCTGCCTGCATTGCTGTTCTCTCTGATTTCCCTTTTAAATAAACAACCACAAAGTCAAGCTCCCAAGTCTCTCTCCAAGCCTGGCATTTTCCCAGCCTCTCCTGGCAGCATGTCCCATTGTCCTCAGTCCTTTCCAGGATACAATGCTTGTCCTGATCTTGCTGTTCCTCTCTCCTCCCTCAGCTCCAAGGTCAGAAAATGTGATGAAACTGGAATTAAACGTCTGCACAGGACAGGCATCATGTGGATTCCTAGGAACAGGGCTGGACATTTTTAGGGATCAGTTTTTTAGCGATTTTGTTGTAAATTGCCATCCACACAGTACTCCAGTGCATTTACCATGTCACTCTAAACACAAGCTCCTTTCACATGAACTCCTAAATCGTCAGATTTTAAGGAAACACCAAGAGAAGAATGGGATGAAAGAACATATTTTCAGTCTCTAGGAAAAAAGGGTGGAAAATTCTACCATCACATTTTATTTATTGTTGAGAATTTCTCCAGCTTCAAGGGTAAAATATTATTTTTAGAACCCCTTTTAAAGGGGTTTTCAGCCATGACACAAAGGTTTATACAAGCACGTGTTCCTCTTTTTAGGTATCCTGAGAGATGGAAGCTTGGGATAAATGTTAGTGCTATGTAGACTTGATAAAGAAAAATGTCCTTTGCTCACTGTCCCAGAGAAGTAACTGACAGTGCTGGAAACATAATCAAGGAATCACAGAATCATTAAGGTTGAAAAAGACCTCTAAAATCATCAAGTCCAACCACTAAACTCTGTCCCAAAGTGCCACAGCTAAAAATTCCTCCCAGAATGTGACTCCACCACTTCCCTGGGCACCTGTTCCAATAGTCAATATCCCAGCTCTCTTGACCACCTTTTCAGTGAAGAAATTTTTCCTAATATC